GTCCAGCCGTACTGCATGCCGTCGGAGACGCACGACAGCGTGCCTACGGGGGGTCAAAGAGTGAGGTTAATCGCCCCGATAACCCACATTCGTTTAACTGCGTCTTGTTGGTTGGAGAGCACGTGGGGGCGCTTTTTTTTTGGCGAAGCCCGCCGCCTTCAGCTGCATACTTACTGAGCAGGGCGGTGGCGAAGAGTTTGCGGTGCTTCATCTGCAGCAGGGGCAAAGCCCGGAAACTTGCGGCGATTTTTTTCGATTGTCCCGAAGTGAAGCGCACGATTACGCACGGGTACTGCGGGTTCTTTGGAATGATCGGGCCGTTATCGGCCCGATAGGCGCGAACTTTGACCGCTGTCGCTCCAGAGCCGCGTTTATGACAAAATAAGGAGGCGAACTTGCCACTGAACAGCAAAAAAGTCTGATTAGAAAGCAGTCGGTTAATTTTTGGAAATCCGGGCAAAGCCCGGCCCTGTGCACAGCCGATTGAGGTGGGGACAAGCGCGCATTGGCCGGCGCAGTGCAACAGACAAAGAGCGCACTAGTGGGGCAGGGCGGCCTGACGGGCTGCAACAGGGCCGGCTCTAGATTGATTCTATGGAGGATAAAATAAAAGTGCCAAGTAGTCACTACAGAGCGAAACTCCATTGCACCTTTGCTGCGCCTTTCCAGTGGCGCGGCGTTTGACGTTTTCCTTTTTGAAACTGGCTTTTTTACATTTGGCCCTGTCGAAAGTCCAGACAAATTCCCCGAAAATTGGGCAAAAATCCGAAAATCTGCTTTAACTTGCTGAGCGTTCGTTGTGGAGCAAAAGTGATTGCCGGCTTTTTTATGCCGTTGGGCGTCCTCTAGCCGCTGGTGTGCTCGCAATCGTTTCATTCGTTTTGCTTTTGGAGATATGGCGGTTTTTTCGAAAAACGCGTTTTTGACATTTGCGCGAAAACCCTTCTAAGTGGAGGTGTCACAAAGTGACGCTTAAATGCCTTTTGGTAGTCGGGATTTTTGGTCAAGAGCAGCATTTTTCGCTAGGAAGCTTCGTTTGGCTCCAGTTTGGCAGATGCTCCACATCACTTACGTGGACAAACTGAAATTTTTCCTCCATAAAGAAGTAGCCTTTACCGACCAGCTGACCAAATTTCGCTAAAATCCCGACTTCTGCTGATTTTTTAGAAATTTTTATACTTGAGAAAAAATGTAAAACCCCGTCAACTTAAAGTGCAGTTGATCAAAAATCCGTAACTTCGAAATCTCTTACGTTGAGAAACTGAAATTTTGCCTCCATAAAGAAGTAGATTTTACCGAAACGTGGAACAAATTTCACTAAAATCCCAAAGCGCACCTCAAATTTCCTCAACTTTTCATTATTTTCCCAAGTCCGCAACCCTCATCGAATCGAACGGAAGCCGACCCTGTCGCGCAACGTCGGACTGGCTCGGGGCCGCCCTGCCCCACTAGCGCGGTCTCTGTCTAACACACGGTGGCCGCCTGGCGCGTACGTCTGGCTACCCTGCCCTGCTGCGGGTGCACAGGACCGCACTCGACCTTTATTGCCATTATTTTTTGCCACTAATTTCACTTAAAATATTTTTTCCACCGTGCGGCTAAAAAACGCGGACCAAATTTCACTAAAATCCCGATTTCTGCTGATTTTTTAGAAATTTTTATACTTGAGAAAAAATGTAAAAACCCGTCAACTTAAAGTGCAATTGATCAAAAATCCGTAATTTCGAAATCACTTACGTTCAGAAACTGAAATTTTTGCCCCATAAAGAAGTAGACTTTACCGAAAAGTGGACCAAATTTCACTAAAATCCCAACTTCTGCTGATTTTTTAGAAATTAGTAAACTTGACGAAAATTGTTAAAACCCGTCAACTTAAAGTGCAGTTGAACAAAAATTCGTAACTTCGAAATCACTCACGTTGAGCAACTTAAATTTTTGCCCCATGAAGATGTGGGTTTTACCGAAAAGTGGACCAAATTTCACTAAAATCCCGACTTCTGCTGATTTTCCAAAAATTCCTAAACTTGACGAAAAATGAGAAAACTTCTTCAGCCCGAAGTGCAGTCAAGCAAAAATTCGTGATTCCCAAAAAGCAGGCAGGTAAAGTGCACGGTTTTAAGCCACCGGAGAGTCAAAGACCCGGACGTTGCTCGCAAAATTCATGGATAATGAGGGCGCAGTGCGGCCCTGTGCGCTCCGCGCGCCTCCAAGGTCAGCGCAGCCGCCCCGACGACAAGCGCGCATCGGCGCCCGCCATGCACCCGACAAAGACCGCACTACTCGGGCAGGGCCGCCCGATCGGTTCAGCCGCCGGCCAACAGGGACGGCTTCGCGTTTATCCGCAAAGAAAAAAAAACCGCCAATTAAACTGGGACGTTTATTGTGAAAGGGTCGTCAACCAGGCCGCTCAGACGGGCAAAATCTCCTCCACCAGCGCGTAGAACCGATCGACCGGGCAGAAGTGCGGGCACCCGGGGATGCTCAGGGGCTTCGGGCTGTCCTCCTCGTAGTCCACGTAGAACAGCTGCGAGAAAAACGCCTGCAGTCTCAGGGGCCGCTCAGCGGCCGCCCCGCCCCCCACTCACCTTGATCCCGAACTGGCCGCGCACCTCGTGCACCTCAAAGATGACGCAGGCCCCGTAGGGGGGGCTCTGATCCAACGCGTAGGCGTCCAGCGAGCGCAGCATGTTGCCCACATTGACGTCATGCGCCGAATAGACGAACAGCTTCCGGCCCTCTGGCGACAAAGTGCCGCTGATCAGGCTCTGCGTGTCCTGCAGGATCTTCTGGATCAGGGGGCCTGCAAAGGAGCGGTTAGCGACCAGTCGGGCTCAGAAAGCGCGCGCACTACCGGAAAGGGCGCGGCGCAGCGCTGTCGTGTTGGTCATGATGTAGTAGTAGTCCACGGCCAGTGAGCCGAGCGGCTCAGGGTACACCTCAGCAGTCCAGCCGTCCATCTCGAAGCCCAGCTGAGTCTGCAACAACACGCCGCCTCAGAACGCTGCGCGGCGCAGCCCTGCGCCGCTCAAACCTGCACTTTGATCACGTCGTAGATGGTGAAGGCGCTGAGGAAGTCGTCCGGCTCAATCCCCGTGTTGGCGGCCAGCACCTCCATCACCTCCCCGTAGCGGGAGGAGAGGTAGGAGACAGTGTCCTCGTCCGCGAAGCGCTCGGCCAGCAGGCTGGAGGCTCCCGATGGTACGGATGCCAGCACCTACGCAAGGGGCGGGTCAGCGACTGCTCCCTAGGGGTCTAGGGAACTCCCTAGGGGTCTAGGGAACTCCCTAGGGGTCTAGGGACCAGCCTAGGGAACTCCCTAGGGAACTCACCTGGTCATCAGCAGCTGCATAGTAGTTGTAGGGAATGGGCTGCCAGGGCAGCTCAGGGTTCCAGATGTTGGCGCCCCTGGGGGGCCACAGGCCAGCCAATACGAGCAGGCCGCTCATTTTGGTGCGATTGTAGTCGGTGGTGCGCACGTCCATCACGTTGATGTTCCAGATGTCGCCCAGGAAGCTGTCAAAGCGCGCGCGCAACAGTTTGCCCAGGTTGTGCTCCGTGCGCTTGCCCGCCTGCAAACCAATCAGCGCTCGGACACGCCCAGCTGCGCCCCGCCCTCGGCGAGGCCCCGCCCACTCACATTGATCAGCTGACCGAAGCCCTCCGGATAGAAGCTCTCGTTGGCGTAGGCGTTGCCGTCCCAGATGGAGGAGGCCTCGGGGTTGCGGTTGCCATGGCGAAACAGCTGGAAGCGGCAACAGGGTGAGCCGTGGCTGGGGGGAGGGAGTGAGTGCGCAACTTACCACATGGACGAGTCGGAGTGAGTCGGACGGTTCAGGCCGGTTCCCATTGGGCACAGCTCCTGAGCCTGACCAATACAGCGCGACGAGGCAGAACAGGACCTGGAAAGTTCGCATGGTGGCGCTTGGATGAGCAGCGGATGCAGCAGTCCGCCGATACTGAGGCGGGCGGGCGCTTTTATAGCCGAAACCTGGGCTTATCGATTTATTGGCCATTGTTGTGCGATGGATTAGCGGATTTGGCGCTAATGCGAGTTTAGGCTGGACCGTGTTTGTTGCGTCCCCGGGGGGGGTTGGAGGGGACCTCTTGCCCTGCCGGGGGGACCCGATAGAAGCCTCTAGAGGCCCCCGGGCGGGGGCTGGGGGCGGCTGAACCCTTGCAAGCAGGGCACGGGTTTAAAAATTCGCCAAAAATCGCGCTTTAAGGGTGGAGGAGCGGTTCTCGCAGGGTTTAAAG